GCGCCGGGCCCAGCGTAGTCATATCGCATTGACGCCAATCCTCGTCTTGAAATGTCATTTACATCACGTACAGACCGGGGAGCCCTCAGCTGTTAGTGGATGGAGCCGTGCTTGTCTATCTTGCAGTACAGGTACATGGACACCACCATTGCCACCAGCTAGAGGGAGAGAAAAAAACAAATTCTGAGGCCTGAACTCAAACAGCCCAGAACCACCACAGCGGGTGCCGCCTTCCTATACATGTGGGGCCAGCATGGGCCAATCAGAACCCTGCAGAGGGTGGACTCATGGCCGGGGTGTTAGGCTTTGTTTACATTAAAAAGGGGTTTCTGCCAGAGAAGAAAGCTGCCCTCAGACCTTATAATTGTGGGGGGCACCTCCATATTACCCGGGGGGTTGGGGGGGGGGGGCAGGAATGATATTGCACCAAGAGCCCTTATTTTACCATCTGACCCGATGAATATGAAGAGTCGTCATATAGGAAAGCTGGCGAGTCCCGACACATCAGATTGGACCAACTTCAAGCAATCTCAACTCCGCACTATACCGAGACCAGACCGGCGTTACTGAAGTCTGACTCTTGCCGTTGCGAATTGTCTGTTTCATATCTATTTCATATCTATTGTCTCATTCATATCTATAACAGCCCCCCCCCTCATTAAACTTTATTTAGAAATCATTAAGCTGAATCTCTGAAACAATTAAGAACTAATTGCGTAAACTCTGATCCATTCCTGTCTGGGTGTGGCAGCGAGGGATTTAGACATGAGATGTGAGCTTTAATTCAAGCATGTGGTTGTGGCTGCCATGGGTGTAAAGGGTTAATGGTTTAGTTGACCTGCCCCAGTGACAATCACTGCCCCCCCCCCCCCCCCCCCACAAAGAATCCCTGCACAGGGCGAGGCTGAGCGTGTCACCATTCGAAGATCCAACCTCTGTCCCTGTTCTGGTGACAACGCGATATCGCCTCAGGCCTGCCGACTGCGCGTCCCAAGATACAGCGAAGAGGAATCTCCCCAGCGGAGTCAAAAACCAGAGAAGTCCCAAATGTTCTGCACCCCTCCCCCCAAACTACAGGACGAGGGGAACTCAAAACCAACCAAGTGTGTCACTTACCTCCAGGGCCGCAATTCCGGCTGCGATGCCGCCCACAATGGCCGCGTTCGTCTTCAACAACTGCAGAATCTGATCAAAGCATCCCTGAGGAAGGAAAAAGGGGAGC